AGAGATGTATGGTCAGACCTCGCTAATACGACCATCTCTTTATAGGGTTACTTGTGTACCAAGCCAGAGAAAGAAAATAAGAATGGGATTATATTTGCTGGGTATTTTTATTATGAGTGAAATAAATGATACTTCAAAAAATATTTAAATATCCGTTATTCATGACTTTCACTCTAACGGACACATTCTAATCTTGCATTTCCTTGTTTCTTTTATTTTGTTCGATTTACAGGTTTGCGTGTGTGATAGTGATCATCATCAATGGGGAATAAATATGAGAAATTTACGTATGTGATTAAGAATCTCTCCTCCTTGCAATACAAGAAACTTTATTCTGATCAATTAGTGGCCAGTGGCTACCAAATGGTAAATAATAAGAGATGGAACATGTTTTCGTCCGATTAAGGTTTATGTGATTTCTTTGTTTTTTTTTTTTTTAATTGAATGTAAAATTATATTCAAGATCAAAAAAAGACTGTTTTACATCTGAGTGTTACATTTACTTAAAAATTTTTGAGAAAATTTGTTCAGAGGCGAGATGCTTGTCAGGTTCGAGTTTCGAACCAGAGTTGAAGTGTACCCTCCAATCTGTTGTCTCCCACGTCCCGGATAGATTGAATACGACACCGGATAACCTTATCAATGAAATGCAGGAGTTGATCGGAAGTTGAGGGCCTTTCTCCGTGACGGCGAAGATTCTTTTCTCTCCAGATGCTGTGAATGGAGACTTGGAATGAATACCGTAGAAGAAACAGAGTTTGTCTGTCAGCTTTCATATTTGTGACGAGATGAAGAAGCGTATGCCAAACTGTTGAAAATTGCCCTTTGAGAAGCCCTTTCATTAGCTTCCCCCAGATTTCTGCAGAGTAACTACAATAAAAAAACAAGTGATCTCGCGTTTCAATTGCGGCGTTGCAGAGACAGCAATTTGGGTTAGCCCCCACGTTCCAATACAACATTCTATCCCCTGTAGATAATCGATTATGAGTGGCTAACCAAGCAAAAATCGAATACTTAGGAGTAGAATGCTTAAACCAGACGCCCTTGTGCCATGGAATTCGAGGGGATCCCTTTCTCGTTAGGAGCCAAGTATTTCTAGACATAAATCGTGGCTTGAACTTTCCCTCCTTGGTTTTCCAAACTGCAATATCCTCATTACCAGA